TTTAAAATGCATTTCCTTACATTTTATGCTGTTGTATGTTCCTTTTTTTTTGGTAAAACTCTGGATTTTCTTATCCTCTACAGAAGTTATGCTATGGAGAATATCGATGAAAATATGAAATCCAGATAATTCTCAGTACAGATCCCTGAGTAATTTACTAGTATCTCTATAAATGAGTACCTTCCATTTCAGTACAACTTTATAATCTCCCATTTAGTTAGTTAGTTACTCTGCCTTCTTGCGCTGATCCACATTTCCATTTTAAAATACTAATTTCTCTTACACTATTCAGACATTTTAAAACTATTGTAATTTTTCTTGTATACAAAGATAAATTATTTTGTCTCTTGTGGCATCCTTGATCTAAATTGAAGAGACATGGATTGAATGCGTGGATCACTTAGTGATTAAGGAATTGGCTGGATAGTTGAACTTGACTTCTGAGTTCTTGCATTCAGTGCATGGGGTATGCAGACTTTCTCTGTTTATTCTCTTTTAATCTGTACTGTTATATAACATTTTTGTGATTTAGTTTTAATTTCTTTTGTTACATTTCACTTTTCAGTACATTTGACTTAAGTCATTCAGTACATTGACGACTTAATTAAGTCGTTCTTTTATATTTTTAAATTTGCCATTTAAAAATCAAAGCCTGGTGGTGTGTTTTTTCCCTTTTAATGTAAAATGAACCAGCTTATGATTTCTTATCTTCGGGATATTTTTTACATCTCTTTCTAAATAGTCTAATTAAAAATATATATATTCCCCAGTAGTTGATTATTTGAGGAAAAAATGTTTTGATATACTGATTCTGTCACTTAGAAGTAAATGTTTTCTACTATCTAGTAGAAATAGTAGATAGCATTTATCAGTATTAATAGTGTTTATTCTCATAAATTAGGTAGTGTCTTAATAATGCACCTTTGATTTTGACTTGCATTGTCTATCCCATTCCAAATCCAAACAGATTCGGTTTCATTTCTTATTATCCATGTGTGGTCTTGTAGCTTTCCTGAAGGCTGCATAGCTCACTTATCTTTTGAGAGCCATGCTCCAGTTGTGCTTGCTTCTTCACTGAGTTTCACTGTTACCTCTGAATATGCAAATCCATGTTTTGTGCTAGTAATAATTGGATTTCTTGACTTGTGCCTTCATCAATATTACATCTTTTCTTCATTTTACTGTTCAACATCCTATATTATTCATTCCTTTTTCTACATTTATTGGATGTTCTGTTTATGTGCATTAAAACTGCCTGTAGGGAATGAACAAGTTCCATTATGTAATACTTGAAACCATGTTTGCTAGCCGTTATGGTACATTCATTTGCCACTCTCTGGCAAAAGGAGAATGTTTTCCATGAATACGTTCTGAGATATCAAACCCTTCTTCACATCACGTGGAAGTAATCAGTTGATTTTTTTATCATCTTACTTTACCTTTGACGTCTATTTCAGGATTTCAGATAATTTGGTTTTCCACTAGCTGATTATTGTCTTCAGCCTGTTAGTGGTATTTATTCGTTCAAGCAGTAGTTTTAGCAGTTTGTTTTAACATAAAGAATACCTGGTGAGCGTACTATTTTCATAAAAATCCCCAAATTATGTAAATTACCTTCTAGCAACTAGGGTATTCTTTTTATTTTTTATTATTATGATTATTATTTTTTTAAAATATTTTTTGACCTGGTAATATGTTTTTCTGTGTCATCTGTTTCCATTTGGACTCCAATCACACAACCATTATTTCTTCATTCTGTAAGACCAACTTTCCAAATTTTTCTCTTAGACATCATGTAGTGGAATAATGAATACCTGCTTTTCTCCATTATTTTCTTTGCTTCATCCATTTTCCAGGCTGTATCTTTAGAGGTTTCTGCAAAGCTATGCTATTCTTGTTATACTAGATATGCTTGCATAGAGGGACTTTGATGGTGCACACTTATCCAAGTTTGTCAATTATAAGTGAGATTAATATGCCTGTCATACCTCACAGGAAGCTCAGCAAAGTAAATAACTGCCTTGGTAATAGAAGCAATAAGCTAAATTCAGCTGTGAACAAAGGAGATTGCTGCAACTTTTAAGAAGGATCTTTAAGAAGAGTTGTTGGAAAATGTGATTCTATGAATTATTTCTCTTCCTCAGGCCTAGCAGTTAGCACTTATGTACTTCTGGTTTAATGTGTTCAAGCTGTGGCAATTCTTGTAAGGATGAAGTTTAATCTAATAGTAAGAGTAATTGTTTGGCAGTTCATTATTTAATAATGACAAAATAATTACTTATAACTGTTTATACAATATCTGTGTACTCACAGTATTTTCCAGAGAAGTGATACAAGGTCATGTCTTCAAAGTTGGGTAGTGGTGTACACTCCAAATTTACAGTAATAATAACATATTTCATATTCCTGCACCTAAGTAATACAACTTCTTTCACATTCTGTCTCCATCTTTAAAATTTTAACTTCCTACTTAGATCATTTTAGGTCATAAACCTACAAGCATTTTTCAAACAAACAAGTAAATACCAGAACACTACTCTAGGACAGATTAAGTGGAAAGAAAAAAATAGCAAATTTTAAGTAAATAGGTCATAGATCAGAGTTAGTCCCCAGGGTAAAATTTTAAGGACACAGTTGACCTTCAGAACCGTTCTGTTGTCAGTGCTAGTCTTCCACTAAAAGGAAGTGTTGTAGAACGTGTGTAGAGAAATGTTATTCGGAAAGAGAGAATTATAGAAAAGTAGTTTTATGCTTATGAGAGCTGACAATTAAACTTCTCTGTATGGTAAGACTGACTGCTACAGATGTTGCTACAGCAGTATTACTATGATAAAGCTGAATAATCAGTGTCTGGTATCCTGTAGTACTGGAACACCCCTGTTTGCAAAGACCGTATTACATATTTTGAATGATCATAATTTATCTAGTGAATACAATTGTTTTCATCATAGTGCCTTGGGATATAGAAAATGTACTTGATTGCTCAAGATGTTGAAAGTTTTTTGTGTCATAAATCCCAGCAGATAGTACACTCTACAAACTCACTGATCTTCAGTGATACTACTATCATTTCAAGATAATGGGCTATTCAGGCAGAGAATCAACAGATCCAGTGTTACAGTATTATACAGTACTTCCTAAGACTTATTTGTGTAACTGATGCTAATATATGTGTCTTTGTTAGCAAATAGCTTAGATATGTGAAAAGATTTGTGGCAGTTGTAAGCTTCTTTGATACTGCAGTAAAAAACATTCACTCTGCTACTACAGGAGTGGGAGTTTTGTCCTCAAAGATGAACCAAGGACTCTGCTAATGACTTCCTGACTCTTCACTCAAAGTCTAGGGAACAGTATCAATTTTAACAGTTTCTAATTCTACACCACTGCAATTCCCAGAGAATGTGTGATTTATGTACTAGCATAATGGCCATGCAGAACAAAATGCTTATAGCAAAAGCTTGACTCTAAGCAGGACTCTTAGATTCTACCATCAGACCTCATTAGAGGTTAGAATTTATAATATGTCTTTACGGAGCATTTTCTTCTGCTTTTTATTAAAAGCAGTATTAATAATTTAAACATAGCCGCTAAGTGGTATGGAGGATGTAGATTATCAACTCATTTACTTCCCAGACAGAAATTTATTGACACACACACACCTAGACTAGGTCAGCCTAATCTATTTCTTAAACAACTTTTCTTTTAGATATGGCTAAACGTGAGCTAATAAAGGTACTAATCCTACCTTATTTTTTCTAGGATGCAATAGAAAACTAAATGCAAATTCCTCAAATCAGGCTTTTCATTGGTCCTCAAGTAATAGCCTGCTGTAGCTTTATCCTCTGTATATATTAATGTCTGTTAAATTATTTAAGAAAGTATGCATGGCTAACTCCGAAAACTAAGTGATACTCAAAATTGGTTTCACTGAATCTTGCAACAGAATTGTAGGAATTCTTATTGCCTGGAGTTTAAGACACATAGATCTATTTTAGGCCCCTCAGTCAAGAAAAAAAAAATCATTATGTCATGCCCTTTCTATCTTAATTCTCAGTGTTTTAGCTGGAATGGATATGATGAGAATGCTGTGATGGATGGAAGAGTAAGTAACATCAGTAAAATGTAGTGTAGGCGGTACAGGCCTTCTGTAATTAGTAAAGCTCTTCAATGCTACTGTTGTGTTTTAAAGAATGTTCTCTTTTGAGAAACAGTTATATTAATCAGCTTGAGAGGTGCTTAAATGTTCATCATTTGAGATGGGAATCAGCTGTATTGGGGGTGAGAATGTCTTCTTAATAGTCCTTCCTAATATCCCTGTTAGTATGAAAAACTGTTGTCAGCCACCCCTCAGGGATATCATTTCTCTTAACTCCATGCTCTTGATACTCAGCTTCCACTAAACCGAAGCCTAAATCCATACACTTGGTCTTGTTAAAAAGAAATTAACCAGCAGAAAGAGCATTGATATCTCAGGGTATAATGCCAACACTGCAATGCAAGGACATATTGGGCAATTTTGTCTGAGCTGTTACATCTGCATGGCTTTGCAGACATACAGTTCCATTCTTGAAGAGGTATCTTAAGAGTCCTTAATGCTTGAAGCGACGAGTTTTGTCATTCCAGAGGTAACTTGTTGAGAGCCTGCAAGGGTGCCGTTACACAGCACTGCACTGAGTAGAGCTGACATATCCTAAACAAACAGGAAGACCTATTTCATGCAATTTAGTACAACATTTCAAATATTGTGTTTGAAAACTGATATGCAGTCATGCAATTTGAGTTTGTCATATAGCATATGCATACACAAAAGATGTAAATGCAACCTGACGTTTCTTGATTTTCACGCGCACAACTTAGCGCAGTCAATATTTGCTGTATCTTTGTGAAATGCATATTTTTATATTTGGCATGATATTATTTAGAATTCTGATTACTGAAATACACTTTACTTAGGAATCTTGAGCTGAAGTAATTCAGCAAGTCTTTTTATCTTTTGATAGCTAGGAAATGGAAGGTGTCAGTCCTCACCAGCGATATGCCATCTGCAGGAACAAGCTCAAAGGTTTATATCATATTGTATGGGGATCACGGCAGTTCAGGACCTATTTTTCTTGATGGAGAGAAGGGAAAATTATTTCAGAGAGCCAGTGAAGATGTCTTCACAGTAAGTAGTATATACTCATTCTGTTACTTTCTTGTGTCTGGCTAGATTACATGAAATTTCAAAATCTATGCAATAAGAAAGACAGTCTGTTTTTGTACTATACATATATCTGTAAGCAAGAAGCAGGACATAAATGGAGAAATAAAATAAATGTAGTATTTTTTTCCCCTAACCCATCGAGAAACTGGCTTGATTCAACATTTTTCTTGTCTGCTTAAGAATTACTGTTTAGTTTATATAATGCCCAAAAACCTGAGAACAATATTAAAAATGAAACAAGTGGAGAATTAGGGGATGGAATAAATTTTTAACTTTGTTAAATCTTTGCTGTCTGATTTCAATTAACAGCTCCCAGTTACACATGTAAATTCCTCCTCTATCAGTCGTGTTCCTTGGTGACTTAAATAAGCCCAAATAGGGTATGTTATCAAGAACTACAGAGTTTAATTGTATATGTGGGACTGTCAATGTCAAGTCTAGCAGGTATCTGCTATAAAACCATGCAACAAATAACTATTTCCATCCTTAGCATCCAGGATAGCAAGTACTATTCTGACTGGGATCTGTCTGGGATGCAGGAAATTAAGTTCTTAGTTCTCGTCAGCTGATGCGCTTTCTAAGGAGAATCCAGCACCTCTGATATTTGTGCCATTCTCCATGTGTGATATAAAAACAGAACTGAAACAAGATTGAAAGGAATAGATAAAATAAGTAACCAGGGTTAAAAATACTGTCTTCATAAGAAATGAAGAAGCTCTGCTTACTGCTCCCACTACTGCCATTCATTTAATCCCTAATGACTCTTAAATACAAGATGTGGAGACAGTCCCTGGTTTGGAAACTCGAATTCACCTCTTGGGTGAATTTCCATCGCACTGAATACAATTAAGGAGGGTGTACTTTAAAATGCGTAGGAGTCAAGCCTCTTTGCTTGCTTTTTGTGCTAAATCCAAGTTAATTACAGTCACTCTGTATTCACAATGCAGAGAATTTGGTTCACACCCATCTTTATATCATAAATGAAAACATGGAAATGAATTCTGTAGAAAGTGTCAAAAGGACAGCAAATCAGACTACATCATAAAAAAAAAAAAAAAAAAAAAAAGAATGCAGCAATGAGGAGAGGCACTCATGGTATATTTCCAGCACCTTGAAGATAAGCTTTCTAACTCCACACTTAAGTTCATGACTACTTGTTTGAATAACCTTCACATAAAGTGATTCCCTCAGCACCCTATTATCTGTACTGGATATACTCATCCAGCCTGCCCAAGAGCTAATCTTTCAAATACAGGTTTTAAAGTTGATTTAATTGAAGCCATTTGTAAGAAGAAATGTCAAAGATGAACACAATTGTTCCAAAATTGTAAAGCATGCCATCCGAGAGGGGCAGGGAGAACTCAGAGGTAGTGGGAGGTGCCAGGGATACAGAATTCATTTTTCAGTAGGTCAGTGGTACAGATGCTAAACTGAGACATCCATTAGGGTCAAGCTATAGTTGTTAGTGATGCCTACAATCTGTATTCCTCTTCCACTGAGACCAGTATACACTGGGGAACAAAATAGCCGCAACAGCATCTTGAATCATTTAGATGGGGCTAGCAGGCCACAGGATTTGTCATTCGGTTTTTCTTTAAATGAGCAAGCATCCAATAATACTCTGGAGCAAAATATTTTAGAATCACTAGTTTGAATATCAGAGTAGTTAATTCATCTAAACTAAAATTTTACTCATAGTTACTAAATGAATTTTTGTTGTATCTCTTTTAAGCAATGTACTGTATTTCATCAGTGGCGTTCCTTTTACAGATTCATACAGGAAACACAGGACGTCTCTACAAAATACGCATTGGACATACTAATGCAGGAAGTTGCCCTGCCTGGCATTGCAAAGAGGTAAAAGAAGAGAGAAAGAATTTTATCCTTCCAAAAGCAGTCACTATGACAATAGTGTCAAAATACGAGTTGGAAAATTTCTTCTGGAGAAGTATGATAGCCTCAACAAATACTTGTAGCTTTGTTTAAGAGGTTATTTATTGTGGAGTGGTTTTTTTTTATGAAGAATGAGAGGCAGTCTATCATCTTTGCTTGATTGCTGTTTAGTGAGAACTATATAGTGTATTTCTTTAAAAGTGCATGAATGAACAGTAAGGAAAACGAAGAATTGCTCTACTGTATTCTGAGTCTACTGTAGCTTTTGTGTGCTACAGAGTGACCAGAGTTTGTTGAAACCTAAGAAGTCACTGAACTCAATCTTGCCAACTCTTCAAATCTGCAAATGACTCCATGTTGTTATGTACAGCATCAGAGCTACACTGCAAGTGTTTATAATTCTGTGACTCTGAAACAAAGATAATGACAGATTATTTTCCCTCCTGACTTAAAAAAGATCTCAAAGCAGGCAAAGCAAAGTTGCTAGGATATGCAGCGAGAAAATTAGAAACCAGGATGGGTTAATGAAAGGCAGCTCCTGCTTGACGAACCCGATCTCCTCCTATGATTGAATGATCTGCCTGGTGAATGAGGGAAAAGCTATTTGATATAGACTACCTAGACTTCAGCAAAGTCTTCGACACTGTCTCCCACAGTACTCTCCTGGTGAAGCTGTCTGCCTGTGGCTTGGACAGGTATACTCTTTGTGGGTAAAGAACTGGTTGGATGGCTGGGCCCAAAGAGGGGCAGTGAATGGAATTAAATCCAGCTGGCGACTGGTCATGAGTGGTGTTCCCCAGGGGTCGGTATTAAGGCCTGTTCTATTTATTATCTTTATTGATGATTTGGATCATCAGGGCATTGGGCACACCCTCAGTAAATTTGCAGATGACACCAACCTGGGAAGAAGGGTTGATCTGCCTGGTGGTATAAGGCCCTGCTGAGGGATCTGGACAAGCCAGATCGCTGAGCAGAGGCCAGTGGGATGAAGTTCAACAAGACCAAGTCCTGTGTCCTGCATTTTGGCCCTAACAGCCCCAGGTATCTGCTTGGGGCAGAGTGGTTGAAAGACTGTGGAAGAAATGGTCCTGTGGATGTTGGTTGACGCTTGGCTGAACATGAGCCAGCAGTGTGCCCTGGTGGTCAAGAGGGCCAATGGCATCCTAGTTTTTGTCAGTATTGCTGGCAGGTTCAGGGAAGTGATTATCCCCTTGTACTCAGCTCTGGTGAGGCCATACCTTGAGTACCGTGTTCAGTTTTGAGCCCCTCCTTAGAACAAAGACTCTGAGACCACAGAATGTGTCCAGAGAAGGGCAGTGAAGCAGGTGAGGGGGGACTGGAGCACAAGTCTTATGGGGAGTGACTGAAGAACTGGGATTGATCAGTATGAAGGAGAGGAGGGGGCACCTTATCACTCTCTACAGCTCCAGGAAAGGAGGTTGTGGGGAGGTGACAATCTGCCTCTTCTCCTGGGTAACAGTGAAGTGACAAGGAGGAATGCCTTCTGGTTGGATATGATGAAAATTTCTTCTCTGAAAGAGTGTTGAAGCACTGGAACAGTCTGCCCAGGAAGGTGGTTGAGTCACTGTCCCTGGAGGTTTTAAAGAAACGTGGAGATGTGGTACTCAGGGACACAGTTTAGTAGGCAACACTGGGAATAGGTGGATGGTTGAACTAGCTGATCTTTCTAACTAGATAATCTTTCCAACTTTAATGATTCTATGATTCTATAAAGTGAAGTGAATCAGCAAGTTCTGTTCCTAGTTTCAGTTGTTACACAATACATAGGTAATTGGATGGGAATGAAACTATCTGGATTTTATCCTTGATGTTAGTCATGTACTATGTGTGCCAATGATAGGCTATCCATGCCTGAAACTTTTCTCTGTTTGTGCCAGAGTTTCTCATCCTTCAGTTAGGAAAAAGCAGTTGATAAAGAACTTTAGAAGCTTCTGATAAACTCAGCATTATAATCATGCTTCAGGGCTAATTTACATCTGTCTAATACAGAATGCCCATTAATGTTAAATATTCACTGTTTTGAACTCTGTGATTGTTTGGTGTTTTAATCGGTTGTTTTCGTTTGGGGCTGAAACTCAGTTAGAAGCCAAAGTATGGTCTGTGTATAATATACGTAGATTGTGTATGTATATCGCATATATATATTGTGTATATGTATAATATGATATATAGATGATATGTAGTACATATATATATAATATGATATGTATATGCATAACATTGTATGACAAATCCATTTAAAATGAGATGTTAAGGAATGCTGACAAAAATTGAGAGAATAAAAAACATATTTTTCACTTTTCTCCCTTCCCAGCTAGGAAATATTAATTGAAATCAACAGTAAAATTTTAAAAGAAGGAAGGAGCCAAGTACTTTACCATGTTCCATAAATTCTTGGCTTATAAATTTTTTTTGTGCTCTTACTGAACCTCTGCCAATTGGCTACCGTTTTAAGACAGCAGTGGGTCATCCAGGGTTAGATCATTCTGTCTTAGTAATTTCAGGCACATAGTAAAAAAGAAATACGTTCAAATAAATGCATTCTACAAGTAAACTAGGATTTTGTTAGGTAGAGAGCCAAAGGAGTACTCATTTTTAGACTTCAAAAATACAGAATGGATGAAACAAAATACAGAATGGATGGCCAGACGCTCACGTTATTGTTCTTTAAGAAATACATATTTTTTCTAGAAGATCTGAAATTGAGTAATCTATAACAGCAGAATTTTTATGGTTAGTTAGGCATGTTACTTCCCCTTCAGTATCCCACGGTTTCTTCAACTGTGTCTGTATTGAGATGGTTTCAAGACTGCAAATGATCGTGATACTGCTTCATTAACTCCAGGTTCCCTTTCAAGATTCCTCAGCAGATATTGACAGGATGAAGCGTACCAAGGTTTTCAGATAGCATGAATTTGTTTCTTTAACTTTAGTATTAAAGCAAACAAAAATAATTAAAGTGTTTCAGATAATACAGAATTAATTCAATATTCTAATTAAAAAGATTGGGCTCTACAAAGCATGAAGCAGGAATGAAGTTACAGGTAGAAGCAGTTTTTCTTCTCTCAGCAGTCTGAAATTATAATTTAGCTGCTAGTATAAATTAGCATAATCAGAGACTATTTTACTACATAACAGTCAATGAGATTCTTACCACAGTATGCTTTGAAGTACATAATAACTGGATCTCCTTTGATTCTTTAGCTGAAGTGCATGTGGTTCTTTTACTGCTGAGTACTAGAAGTTGGATATGGAAGAAAGTTTTATGGGGCAGACTAGAACTGGGTCCAGCACTTTCAAAGACTACTTATGTCAGAAGTAGTTTTGAAGGATCGTAACCTCTTCCTTTGATTCTTGTTCTAACAGTAAATTAAACAAAAGGAATAGATTAGCAAGCATTGCTGAACTTCCCAGCGAGAACTTCCCCATCAGTTAAGCTATGTCACTTAGTGCCTGCCTACCTGGATATATCAACTGCAGCAACAAGGCTGGATTTTGTCAAACTACACCTGAGCAGATAAACCCTGTTTCTTGTCTATGCTAAAGTTACTCTGCCCTGTCTTCCTGAATTTGATTGAGTGAAAAGTCAAATTGGGTGCAGCTGTATCAAGGGGGCAGACGTGTCCCAGATGTGTGCTTTTGTGATCATGGCACAGAGCTTAATCTGCACAGGTTTCAACAGCATTCTACAGCTGTCAAATTCTATTCTGTCTATCTGGACTCAGATCAGTAACTTAAATTGCGGTTTCTTTTTCTGCTTTAGGTGCAGTTGCTGAATCTTTTCTCAGGGGAGCAGTTTTCTTTCCCTGTAAATCGATGGCTGGCCTGGGACCAGGCTGATGGAGAAATATCCATGGAGCTTCCTGTATTACATCAGGGTCAGCCTGTTCTTCCAGGTAAGCACAATACCACATCAGCTAAGTCAGACCACAAGAAGATGCTGCTAGAGATTGTCATTTCTTTTCATCAGTCCCTCTATCACTTTTTTTTTTTTTTTGCAGTCATATGTTTTCTGTGCTGTTTTCTTGTGGTTATTGGGTACGGTCAGATAAAAGGCTAAGAATCACCAGAGAAGAGTTAGGAGAGCCTTTACTGCTTTGATTTCACAGATCCTTCAGAAAGATTAATGATTTGACAGAATTTTAAGCATCTGTGCTTTAAAATAGTGGCAATAGTAAAGATATCTCACAGTTATTGGTTTATATTTTTATTAAAAAAAAAACAAAAGTTTTATAAACAAAAGAAACAATTCTCATAAGGTCATCGTGAGTAAAGTCAAAGACTCTACTTTCAGTAACTGAGAATTTTAGCTCTACTATGACTATTTTAGACACTGCTTTATTTTCTTTCATAAAAATAGCTGAGGCAGGTTTCCAGAATATTTATAATTTTGGGGTTTGGAACAAAGTAATATTCCAGAAAATTATATATAAAAAACTCCTCCATCACTGATATACTAACATCATGATTGTACTGTAATTCTGAATTTCAATGATGGAAACACTGTCAGAATTATCCAGCACTGCTGCTGTTTACACTGCTTGAATGCTCTGTTCTACCACACTAATCCCTGTTACCCATGCTGGTTGTTTCTATTTTTTCTTTTCTTCAGTGGTGGTAAGGGTATAGAAGAAGTCTGTGCTTTCTCTTCCCATCAATTCATCTGGCATTGCTCTTTCTTAAAGAAAGTACAAGAGAAGAACAAGATTGGTGTATCCTATAAGGGGAATAGGTGAGAGATCAAGAATGTGAGGGCAGATGATGATCCTGTAGCATGTGAAGATGGAAAACTTATACCATCATCAATATTACTTGTGCTGAAGCTTTCACTTGAGAAAGATTCACACGAGACATGCTCTGGGCCCTCCACTCCTTCCTTACTAAAAGATCAGATCAGCTGAAGATCTGAAGGACTATTGGATGAGAAAAACCCTCATTCAGAGTTATTCAAAAACTGTGGAACCCCTCCCTCTCTCCTCCCTCTGCACCTCCTTTTTTTTATTACCAGAGTGTTTAATACTATATCAGTTTCTGGTGATATTACAGTATCTTTTATTGATCATGAAAAACTGAAAGGGTAACAGCCATTGCTGTTGGATTGCAGAACAGAGGAAGAGGCTATAAATGAAATTGAGGGGCAGAAGTCCAGAAAATGGCAGATGAATATTGGCAAACATACCTTTCAACAGTAACTCTAGTAATAAAAGCTAGGTGACTTGAAGCTCCACTTACACTTGTGATGGCTGATCATGGTGATTAAGACCCTGGAAAGAAGACCAGAAGAAAAGGCCTGTGCCTCATTAATATGTCTTTAAGAGAAAAAGAATAGAAGGAAAGGTTCCCCCCATGATCTAGTTAGTAGCTGTAAATGTTTCATGAAATACTGTAGAGTGGTGCTGGGCAGACCTAAATACACTAATCTGTGATCCTGAGTGGTTATGAATTTCATATCTTTGAAGGCATGAAAAGCCTCTGATGCAGTCAACCTTTGTCCTCATGCTTGATTTCTTTGGGAGAACTGGATATTATTAGTAGAGGGACATACAAACACATCAATCAATACAAAACACCAATCTTTTAAATACATGTTAATTAACATTGATTAAAATGTTAAATTGAATATGCTCAGCTTCCCTACATGCAATATTTGTTCTTTCCTACTGTTCCCTTACTTAATACTCAGAGACCTTGGCCTTTTTCATCTTACAATTTTTGAGTCCTACTTTCTGAGTAAGTTGTTCCGTTGTTTCTGAAAGAAAGATCTAATGAAAGATTTTCATTATCATGTACTTTTGATGCATTATAATGCACAACAGCATACTTAAACCCATCCTCTCAATCTGCATTTTGCAGTTAATAATTTCTCTCACACAGGAAAAGAAGAAAAGGACCATGTATTTTCTCAGTATAAGAAGGGTCATGCTGAAGGCTTTGGAGAAGAGAGTTTCATCTCTAGCTTAGTAATTGAAAGACAGCCTCTGTGTCTTTTTGCCAATATTATGTATCTGCATAAGACAGTGAAAAGAGAAAACGGCTTTTAACTTCAGGGAAGATAGTTTGATAACAGAACAAGGGAAGAGGTATGGATTCAGGCTGAAAGAGAGATGATGAGAGGCCCTTTAAAACCAATTTCTGAATAAAAAGAGGCTGAAGCACTTTCTGATTTAACAGTTTTGTGTTCAAAGAGAAAACATCTGAATTAAGCTGTTAAGAAGTATTACATAATGACATCACGAGTCTAATTCTGAGCGACTGACCACCATTTGTTTGACATTTTATCCTCACCCATCTTACTTTTTTTTCCTTTCTGATCATGTCTTCTGACACAACCTTTGATTATATGAACTATAAGGGGTAAATCAGAGTTACAGTGTTTGGTGACTGGAAATCCTCTGCTTTTCTTGAAGTAGAAACTGTACAACGGATTATTTATGCTGGAAGAAGTTGTAGGACTGGGGAGGATTGTTGATATGGAGAAGCAAATTCTCTTTTGTACTTCTCCAGAAAATGGGGAACCAGTTCATGTGGGTACTGCAAGGAAAAATTTGGAGAAGTAATGAGACTGGGAGGTGACATGGTGAAAGATGAAGATAAAAGGCAACATTAAGTGCCAGTTGTTGATACTCAAACATTTGAGGTGGGTGTACTCTGGAAAAAAGTAGTACATGACTCTGCTGTTGAAGACTGTCAAAAGCTTCTGTGGCCTAAATGTGGCTAGCTTTTGTCCGAATGATAATAGTTGATCTGTAGTGAGGAAAGTATTCTACCTCTTTGTTCTGTCTTTCCTTATTCATAAGTATAGGGGAAAGAAAAAATTTGGCAAATAATCTTATTACCGAAATTCTCTAATTTCAGACTACCACGTTTATGCATTTAATTTTTTGCAATTATAGGCAAAAGTATGTGCAAAGAATACAATTCCTTTTTCTTAATCTCCACTCTGCACATTGTTCTGTGAAATGTCTAAAAGAAAGGTGAGTCACCTATCTATGTCTTAGGATATAAGAACTATAAATACTTATGCTTATTAAAATCAGGGATTCTCCCCAGGTTTATGAGAGCTAAAGAGGAGTGCGAAAAATTGTGAACATTCCTTGCGTTTTTTTATTTAGCTATTTTAGCTATTTTAAACTTCTACCCTGGGTTTATTAATAATATATATCTATAGAACAATACTCCAAAGGAATGGAGATGTACCTTGTGAGTATTTCTAAGCATTTAGTTCTGATACTAGAAGCAAGTTAATCCTGTACCACACATCTCTGTGCGGGCACGTAAACGCCATCTGTGAAGAGAGTCTACTGTTTTAGCTAGATTGGTACCTTTATCAAGGCTAAATTATTTTAAGTCAGCTTGTGTAGTCAGCTAAGCACAAGTGCCATGTGAATAAATGTGAGATAGTCATAAAAAAAAAAAAAAAAAAAAAAAGAAAGAACACCTAAAACAAGCATTGAGGGAAAAGCTGTAAATAATTGCAGATAAGGACTTATTATGAATAAATGCCTACTGCTTATTGAAAGAAAGTGTTTGTCCATCAGCAGTGAGATGTGGGAGTGACCTCCTTCAGGTGAATTGCAGGAAAAATTCTTAACATATTGGAACTGGGAACTGATAATTGAGTGCTGTTACTGATTTTGTTGTTCTGGATCCAATTGCCTAGAAAGATTTTTCTTCCCATAAGGCAAAATAGCACAAGGACACCTATATCAGGAGGAAGAGCTTGTGTTCCAGAATATGAGTTTGTTCTCTCCTCATTTCATTCTCTCTATTTCATTTGGTCTAGTTAATATTGTCACTATATGTTGGCATAAACGTTGCCCTTCCTTTGTTTCTGTTAAGGATTATCATTACATGCTTTGATTTAAGTTTAAGTTTTCTGGAGTTCTAATATCCACATTCTAAAAATCACTGATTTCTATTGATATACGCATTTAATGTGTCATAGTCTTTATTCCAAATCTGTGGGATTTAGACTCAAGTGTTATTTTGTCTTTTTGTATTTGGGTTATTTATTTCTTTTAAATAGTCTCTTTATTAAACTTAATCCCATTTTTTTTTTTTTTTTCTGACATATCTACAGACTTTAAAGAATTTCCGTATGGAATGTCATAGAGGAAGTCTGTATTAACCTTTTGCAGGAAGCATAAACTATTAAATCTATACATCTTTCTGAATTCTGAGGTCCGAGAAAAGTAAAATTTTGTGCTGGGTTTTTGTTTGTTTGTCGAACCAATGCATTCAAAATGTTAATGTATCCTGCCGCTTCCTTTAGTTTGATGCCACTGCTTATGGTAAGCCTGATCTTGGGCTTTGGCTATTTACTTTTCAGCTTGGTGATGATTTCAGATGCTGCAGCAGGACGAAATCATACTATTGTGCATTTTGAAGTTCTTTTTTTTGTACTGGGACTTAAAAACAAACAAACAAACAACAACAAACCCAAACAAACAAAAAAACTCTCATAAATATAACATCAAAGCAAGTTTATACATTTTTTTCATTATTTTACTTGAATAGGATTTTGAAGGTTTTACGGTCTAACTGCCCTTGACACAAATGTATTTGGAGTCTACAGGCACATTTGCAGTTAGATGCTATTCTAAATATAATAATGTTTAATATGAAAAGTTGTCAACTTCTATTGTCAGTGACTGTCTATGAAGTGCATGTGACAACAGGAGATCTGTGGAATGCTGGAACTGAAGCTGATGTGTATATTTCTATCCATGGAGAAAAAGGTGACACAGGATCAAGACAGCTGGTCAGGTCACAGAAACCTAAGAAATTTTTGAAAGGACAAGTGAGTACAAGAGCTTTTTCTGATGTGTTTGTCTGGTTTTTCCCTCTCCGGTGGGCATTAATGCTGCAATTATGGGAGATAATTACTGCATTCCTATGTTATTTCAAAACTCCACAATTAAGCCAAGATTACTTTCTAATGGTACATCAGTGGATTTGAAAGATGAGCAGAATTCTCATTTATAATACAGATAAACTGTGCTCTTTCATATTAAATATTTAATTCCTTTATCATAGAATCAGAGTGGCTTGGTTTGGAAGGGACCTCAAGGATTGTCAAGTAATTCAATTTAAGTTGATTTAACAAATTAAGAGAAAATTAAACTTTACATTTTATGTCTGCATTCCTAGCATTGAAATCTATTGCAGCTTGTAAAAATTTATTCCAAATTAAGCATTGAACAGGTTTTTATTCTGACTCTCATCCCATTCATCTGAGTGGAATGCTCCCATTAACAAAGTGATGAACCTTATTTATTTTGTTTCAGGAAAACTGTCCCTGATTTATTCTGGAATTGTCATTAGCTGATATTTCAAAGGGTGTCTTTGAATGAAGAGTTTTCTGGGCTTAAGTAGGACATTAGGATCTGTGGCTGAAGAGTGTTTTGCTTTTCAGATCTTACTGAAAATATGTTGATTGATTACAGACTGACATCTTTCTTGTGGAAGCTGTGCACCTTGGCCATTTGTACAAGATTGTTATAGGACACAACGGTCTTGGATCAGGTCAGAATTATCTCTACTTAGTCCCTGAATATTACCTGTGAAGTTATTCACCTTTTCATAGAAACAAAATACATAAAATAGAATGTATGATAATGTTCCAGAAGTGAGAGACAAAGTGAAAGACTTCTAATGGCACTTTTCAAGTGACCTTCTTATATGAATATCAGATATTTTGTTTTCACTTTCAGTATTCTGTCATGTATTATGTTAAGTATACCATCAACAACTGCTCTTGCAGTTTTTGACTAATCCTAATCAAAAAGTGTAAAGATGAGGAGTGTCTGCTTGAGACACTGAATGTATCTCATACAATCGAAGTTATAGTAAAATAGCCTAATATTCTTTTAGTATTACCAGTTAGATCCTAAAGATGCAATTGGATTTTTTGTTTACAGTATCTGGCCATTAGACAAATAATAATAATGATAATAAAAATCAAAGTGCTTGCAGTCACAGGATTTGTTTTGTAAAATCTTTTGCCTAAATATTGTACAACACAGCACATTTTTTGAGCCACGTATCAGAGCTGTGGAGGCAATGTAAAATGTGTTGTAGGATAGTTCTCTACCTGACTTTCTCTCTTATGCACAGTCATGGTCCACTCTTCCCATATTTACAGATAGAACATCTAAGCTTTTTCTTCCATTTGTTTCAGAAACATCACATTGTTTTTAGTCTTTTTCCAGGAGTGCCCATAGCTGGGTGCCTCTAATCAGAGGCAGTGCTCAGGTACCTCTAAGAATGAAGAAATAAAGACAAGGTTTTCTCTTAGCAGCACTCTTCGCTGCCCTACTTCTAGATGAAGAATTGTTGCAGATTTTGTTTACTTGCTTTGTCACTTTTTGTGGCTGCTAACTGACGTAGAGTGCAATTAATGAATAAGGGTTTCCTTTTGAATAAGATGATTAATAGAAAATCCCTAGAGATTCTTGGGAGTTCTTGTTCGTAAGATTACGTATGTCTAGAAAGGAAAACAACTTTGAGTAAATCTTCACATGAAGAAGATCTTGCTTTTATTCTTCACCCCCAGTGCCATGTTGTATGAATTTCTCAGTGAAAATCTGCCCTTGATTATCAGCCTTCTACTTTAAGGATCCAGCTTACCACCCCCTTTGTTCTGGGCTCATTTGAATGACGTTTTTGAAAACTTGGGCAAACTGAGGCTTCTCATGAAGCTCATTATAAGCCACTGATTCTAGAATTTATTATTTAAAAAGCAGATGAAATGCTAGTATTGTGATAAGCTGCCATCTAATCTTGGCGATATTTCAATCAGTAAAGCAAAATAGTTTAATACAATGAGTAAATGAGGGGAGATGTGATCTTAGAGCCACAACGGCCAGGTAGAGAGCTAGCAGCTTTGCTGGCCCACCTCCAAGTTCTACAGTACTTACAGCATGTAAAATCTTTAGTCCTCCCTGTAAGTGCAGCCTTGACTACAGAATGGAGCTGCAGATTTTTCAGTTTCAGTAGAATCAATCATAGAATCAATCAATCATAGAATTACCAAAGTTGGAAAAAACCTCGAAGTCCAACTATCCACCTATTACCAGTATTTACCTACTACACCGTGTCTTGGTACAGCACCTAAATATTTCTTGAACGCCTCCACAGATCATGACTCACTGGGCAGCTCATTCCAGGACCCAACCACTCTTTGGAGAAGAAATTTTTCCTAACTCCCGACTTGTGAAGAGAGAAAGCCATAGGAAATCAGACTCCACTAATTCGGCCTTTCATTAATTAACTTTTAATTTTTTTCTTTAAATATAAGGAAATGGATGGTATCTGGACAAAGTTGTAATCAAGGATCCTGTAACAGATCTGGATTATACTTTTCTTTGCCACAGGTTAGTGGTATTTGATTTTTAATACATTTCTAATTGCCCATAGATTTTCTTCTGAGATGTACTTTCAGATGAAACATTTTTCCTAAAAAAATGAACTGTAATTATTAGATTCTTCTCATAGCTCTCTGAGTTGCACCTGTCCCAAACCTCTGGTGTGTTTCAGTTGATGAAAAAGCAATAAAAAATTCTGCCTTGGAACATTTCATTCTTTTACCTAGTGAACTATGTAAGAGATGCTTTTTTTGGCATATTCTTTGTACTGAGTACTTTGGGTCTTACACCTTTGGATGCATTCTTCTGCACTGTGAGGTGGAAAGCTTTCTCAGCAGAGGCTTGCCTGGGAATCTGTGAACTTGGGGATCTTGTGGATCTCAGCACACCTTTTTCTTATTCGCCTTGCAGCCTTGGGTTGCAATATATCTTGAAGCAATCCTACCTTCCCTGCCTTTTGCTCTGCAGGTACTACTGCTCTGTACTGCTCTGAGTCTTCTGCTCTGTAGCTAGCTTATTTCTGATTTTATGTGCTCCTGGTGAAGTCCCAACACCTTATGGAATAATTATAAATGATAAAGTGCAAATACTAACAATAGTACAATCCAGTTGTGTGAGTCTAGCTACAGCTTGCCAGTGGTACCTCAATTCTATTTTTCTTTTCTCACTTCTCCAAGTGAATAAATAAGTGCCTGAGACAGCTCAGAGTGAATGATGTGCATACTGGAGCTGATCTGTGTGTGAGTAAGGGCTTTCTGCCTATCAGACACAGCACCTCATCTTTGCCTGACCTAATTTTTATTCTGTGTTCTAGATGAGATAAACTGCTATGAGGAGATCTATAACGCTAGTTTCATACATAATTTAGGGAGAGTTCAAACCCATTTCAGGCAGAAAAATACAGAGTATGTGCCAGTTATTGTTAGAGCTTGATGCTATTCTTGCTGATGCTGCTCCTATAATGTGTGAATCCTTCAGGCTCAAATGTAGTACAATAGCATTGTAAAAGCATGGTTCAGATGTGATAAGGGTGTTGTCTGTGTGTGGAACATGTAATGGTTCACACCCTGATGTAGCCTTCTTGCAGACAGGACGAGAAAGCATTTTGATCACTGCAACTTTGATTATTGGTGAGATCAATATGACAGCTCTAATCTGTATTAACTGCCTTAAGCCCTTCTATCTCTTTCTGTTTAATCAAAAAAGAAATGGAACAACAACAACAAAATTCAATACCAATATTCAAATACCATGTATGCAGTATTGTAGAAGTTGCCTGTCGTAGTGATTTTACTGAAAAGTGTTCTGTTTTTCAGATGGCTGGACAATGGGCAGGACGATGGCAACATTGCGAGAGGACTGACTGTGACAGATGCCAGCACATTTCCAGGAAGTAAGTGAAAATCGGTGAGGAGGAGGACCCAGGCTCACAACTGTGTCAAATGGAATGAGGATGCTTTGTAAATTAATCATATGTTTTTTTATCTATACAGGGAAAGAGCTGGAGATGAAGAGAGAGGAAACTGTAAGGAATCACTTCTATTTTTATTTAGAGAATTCTAATTGTACTTTGAGTGAAACTATATCAGTTTTTCTCAAGTATGTCAAACTCTTGTATATCATCTTCTCATAAGTCTTTTCTGCTTGTTTATAAAACCAGTGGGCTGCTGAAAAGTGGAAATTTCAGGAAGGCAATAAACTTCAGCTTTACAACAGGCTCACCCATGGTTTCGTATGTCTCTATCCAGACAGCAGCGTTGATGCTCTTGGTGACAAGAAGAATAAATATGGTAAAGTATTTTTCATGTGGGTGTATGTATAAAGATAAGGAAAAGGGGACTTCATATTTCACTGTGCCTTGTGTTTGATTCCTGTCGATATAATACAAAATTTTCTTCCTTAGAACATTTACATACACTCTAAGACACAAGTAATATACTTTGCTTTAATATAAAGCATGAAAAAATCTGATATGTTTTCTTGCCACTGTCTGTCCCTTACAAAATATAAACTTTCAGTCATCTGCAGTTTGAGCAATCCCACAAAATGTCAGGCAAAGACAGACATAATCTGTTGTAAATAAATCCATCCAAGCTAAAAGTTAAGCTTTCCAGGTATATTTTATTTGTAGAGGGTGTACATATGTTGTATATGTATATTACTTGTGTATTTATATGTGTGTGTGTATATTATGTGTATATATATACACACACAATTATGCACATATATATACACACACATCTCCTTTTGTTTCCATCCTTGTCATCGACTGTAATGGCACTCTTCCTGTTCTTTCTCTTTATCAGTTTCTACCTTACATGTTACTAAAACTTATTAGAGCTAGTTTCATATTAGGCATGCATTTTTTGAGCTTTGTACTGATGGAGTTGCTTGGCCTTTCTCGCATCTTCCTAGGGACCTTACATACATTTTTTTGTAAGTGGTAGCACAGAATCCTGCAGGACACACCAAAGATTGCATGGAGAGCAGGGGAATACTCCTTAACATAACCTGTGGAAGCACCTCAAAAAAGCTACATTGGAAGTGGCTTTTACTATGTTATAGCAAAACTCCTTTTGTTATCAGTTTTGGTCCTTTAGTTCAAACACTGGTGATTCAAACACTGACTAACTCAAATCTTCTCTCTGCACCTTTAGTATTAGAGAATGTCTGAAATATTTGAAAATACTGGCAACAGAAAGGAGGAGTGTCCTTTCTTTTGGAAGCTCCATTTAGGATCACAAAATGTGGGTTACCTGGTGACAGACCATACTGTCTGCTCGTAGTAATTTGTAATCTTTCTAATTCACCTTTGTTGCTTTTTAATGCTATGTCTTCAAGTGATGTTTTGTGCCAGATTTGATTTCACAGAATGCCACAGAGTTCACAGTCTCCTAATGTGCGGAGTTCAAGTTTGTACTCCAGGCTGTTTCATCCCCTTTTATAAATTCTTGTTTCATTATGTCTGCATTTTCAGACATAAATGTGTGAGATATTTATTGCATTCCATGCTGTTCTAGTACAGTTTCACCTGCTGGATATACATCAGTGTGTGTAAAACTGTGCAAATATCAAATCTGTTACACAACTTTCAAATATAATCAGTATCATTGAAGTAATTAAACATATTAGAAAGACAATTAGATCAAAACCAAACTGATATCTTTCTATCTAAACTATCAATTAATCTAGATGGGAAGTCAGAAGAGCAGACACTGTCACCCTATGTTCCCATTTTTATAGTTCAGAGTACAGAATCAATACTAGTACAAAATGGATGCAAGCACTTATCATGTCAGCTTTCTTCCTCCAGAATAAGATCTTTCTCTGACAATTTCTTTCAGATTTATTTGAGTTACTTAAATGTGCAGTAGGCAACAGAGTGGCTAGATTGGTCATGTGCAACAGAAATCCATACACGCTGTCTTGGGAACTGTTGTTGAAATTTTCATTTAGGATCCCTGCTTCTTTTTGTATGCTTTGGAATAATGTCTTCCAATCTAAGCTATCTACTTCTCTTTTCAAATAAAAAAAAAAACAAATGTGTTTCAAATACTGGTAAAACTGCTTATTTGTCTTTAGCACATCTAAAGAAGTATAATATAATAGCATAAAAAGCATTGAAGGAAAAATTTGTAGGTGGAGATTTGTTCTAGTGTTTTTTAATTTCTTAGGGAGCTTTATCTCTATTGTAAAGTGGAAAACTCATTTGTGATTGTTATGTGTCCTCCATCTCTTGCCCAAAGGGCTGGAAAACCCATCTATGTCATATAACTTGTGACATCATTCCCAGGGCACAGTGATCACTGACTATATAATCCCAATTATCCTGATGAGAACCTGAAAATCTTATGTCATGGATACCACAGGAGTCCTCCAGAGACAGCTGCAGTGTGCAGATTGGGCAGCATAATGTCGTGGTACATCGATTTAAAAAAATCATCTGTTGCTGTTGGGAACACTAAAACACTAAAAGCTTTAGTTTTCATCAGTATTTCTTAGCTATAAGGTAATTCTTTGGAATACTGATCAGATTTGAAATTTTCAAAGCCATGAGCTATTCTTCAAGGTTTGCTTTAAAAAAATCTAGTATGAATACACATACAAAAAAAAAAAAAATCTGCTCTCCTACCTGAGAGCTTCATGTTACTTGCATGATTTGTTATTTACCAAGTCATTCATTGCCATAGTATGGTGTGGTTAAATACATCGTAGTTCCCAACTCCTTGTGACAGATTTTTTTAAAGCACGTATGCTCCCCAGGAGACATTTTTTTCCTTGTCATTAACTTCTAGAACTTTTTCCTCGAGGCAGAAAATTAGATAGTTGTCTCCAGGCACCCTCTCCTAAAGGAATGAGGAGGGGGATTCATTGATCAGCAAGGTCAAACTGTTGAGTTAATACAATTGAAAATGATACATGATTGGTTGTAAATAAACAAAAATATGAAAGAATATACTTTCATGCTCCAACCTTTTATTTTTTTTTTTTTTCATTTAATTCTAAGGACTTTTCAATGTAATTGTCAAAAAAGGAAATATTTCTGTATTCAGAAGTCATCAGATACCCCATCTTGCTCTCGCTCTTGTCAATGGCTATGCAACTGGAAAGGTAGGAAATACTGCTTCTGGTTTCTGCTTCATAATGACATTTCATTGTCTGATTAAAAACAGTGCTGTTTTTATTCTGCCTAATACATAGTCATGTTTTTAGGCAGTTAAGGATCTAGAAAGTGCGGAACTGAACCCAGGAAATTGTCAATAGATAGGCAAATTTAACTCTAGGGCCTTCTCTCTTTTTCTCAGTTTACTTTTTACTTCTTGGTAGAACTTTTAATAGCATACATAACTTAGTGCAGGAATAAAGAATCATTCCACGCCAGTTTATACTATGTCAGCTTACTATATACTGCCGAGGTACCTGGAATACCCTAACATTACCTCTTTTTGGATAAGTATCAATTCTAATACTGATTTTAATTGTCACCGTGGTTTGTCTTTTTTTTTGGTTTTTTTTTATCTTTTTATGTAATCTGCCTGTCGTAAATCAGCGGAAGAATTCCAGATTTATTTTGATCCACGCTGGTTCTCAGTCATACTGTTGTCTTTCTTTCTCAGCACTTGGAGTATGCAAGTGAGCTGTAGAATTAAGTACTTTCTGATGAAACTTTTTTTCTGTTAAAGAAAGGAGGTGGTTTTTTTATTATTATTATTTATTCAGAGAATAATCTCACAGGCAAACTTGGTCCTGTTCTTTTCTTACATTATGTGAATTAGTATTAGAGGGAATAAAGTACTCTCAGTAGAGCTAGATCTCTCAGTGGGAGCAGCATCAGCCTGCCAAGCGAACTGTCAGACCTCCTTGCAGGACTTTCTAGTGCTCATGTTCATTACTGTAATTCCATACAGGGAACACCTTGCAGTCTGTCATATTATATGTCTTACTACAAAATGAGTATTAATTGGACACTTAAATTTAAGCCTTCTCTCTCTCTCTCTCTCTCTCTCTCTCTCTCTCTAATGAGTATTTTACGAGTTTGAGCAGCCTACTGAAAATCTGGATCTCTATTTTCTTGTTTTCAGTCTTGCATGACTTGTCTTCTCAGATAATATGAGAACTGTTGTTATGTGAAAACTTTTGAGATCCTTGAAATACCAGCAGGTAAATGTAAAGCAAAATGTCAATACAAAAATTACAGTTGACCTTAAAGTACACATTTAATTACATTTTTGAGGTGCAAGCTAGCTCAATTCTTTAACAATCACTTCAAAAATCCAGCCAGTTTGTCCTTTACTTTTGAAAGTAGATTAAAGTTGATAGGCAAGTTTTTTGAGTATGAAGCTTTTTTTCAGAAGGAAATGCCTTGCAAATGAATTTATTTATTTATTTATTTTTTTGAAAGTGTGATTCTTTGAAGTCTTAATAATATTGAATCAGAGAGTGATAGAGAATCATAAAATTATTCGGGCTGGAGCTGACCTTGATCGTCTAATTCCACCCACACCCGCTGTGGGCAAGGCTGCCCTCTACCAGCTAAGCTGCTCAGGGCTCCATCCAGCGTGGCCTTGAATACCTCCAGGGATGGGGCACCATAGTTTCTCTGTGCCAGGGCCTCTCTTGGTGAATAGTTCCTTCCTAAGGTCTAATCTAAACCTATCTTCTATTAGTTTTAAGCCATTACCTCTTGTCAGGGAGTGTTCTGATGTTTGAAAAAAATATGAGATTATGTAAGCCAGAGGACTTTTAAGTTTCAAGAGTTTGAGCTGATTACTATCACTTTACATTTATTAAAAAAGTAGTTTTCTTAAATATGTGAATGATGATGGAGTTAATTTGTTTAAACACTTGTTTTGTATATTGTCTTTCATACAGTGAAGTACAGACAAAGTCTGCAAATCTGAATAGACAGACATGAGTATTGTGATGCTCTGTACTTTTGTATAAAACCTCTGACTCTTTGTTTTCTTGAAACGAACATAAACTACCGAGGACAATCACTATTTGCCACCATCATGCAAATAAGAGTAGCAGAAAGGTCATTTTTGATCTATGTCAGTTTTAAATTCCATTCTTCTTTGCCAGGTTTGTCAGCTGCAACTTGACTCTTGCAGTTGAGGTACTCTGGTATCTTTCAGGTTATTCTCAGATTTGTTTCATTTTAAGATGAACTGTTTCTGTGCTTAGAAATACAACATTTTAGAACTTCAGTATTAAGACTGCAAATCTGGAAAATATGGAGAAATTTGCCTTCTAAACTGGTAGAATCATGGAAAATCAAGGAGTACGGAAACCATGTCATGATACTCTCTGTTTTGGATTTTGCTATGTCTAACAGTTAATATAATTTATTATTCCTCCTTTGTCAATGTTAGAGCAAAGACAAGTCTTGCTGTGAGCTCTGCATTCACCTTCAACCAAATGGTTGTGCCATTCTTGAGTCAGCGAGGAACCCAGGTCACACTGTAATGTTCAATCTTCAAGGCAAAGTAGCTGATGAAAAAACAGGATATGCTGGAATTTCCAACGAATTTGTTGTGCATGTCAAGGTAAGGTTTGGGGAGATAAATTAAGTAGACTTTTCTAAAATTGTAGAATTTTCAGTAGAAGAGTAAAATTTTCTAAAATTTCTAAAATACTATTGTGAAGTAGGTCATATCTAATCTGAGAAGTATAAGCTGAAAGAATGATCCTCCTCCACCAGATGGACTAAAGCCACAATTTAATAGATTGAAATTTTCATTTTCTGCCCTTCTTGGGCAAACAATGGTGATAGTAGCTGGTATATGCAAATAAGAATGGCTTCAATTTAGAGAAATAAAAATCTCTCTAAAATGTTTACTAAACCTTCTAGAAATAGGAGAGTGGGTACATATAAGATGGCTGCATGGGAAGCTATTCAATTTTAAAGGAAAACAAGTTCCTTAGCTTGCCACACTGCTTGAGCTCTGAATGTTGCTCTGTGCTACTGAGTGATAAAGAGTAGGGAAGATGATGGATAGTGAGAAGTTTCTGCTGTTCAGATTGGTGTCTGCACAGAAGGAAGCTGGGTGCATACTCTAATTACTTTCGAAATTCATTTATGCATGGGAAATATGTAAGTACTTAAAATAAGTCAGTATGAACAGTATCAATATCAAAGACTAGCGTGAAGGAAAGCTGCACTATTGACAAAGGACTTATTATCTTTCATTTGAAGGGTGTATTTCACCATGGTGCCATCATTCTGCTCAACACAAATCGTTGCCAGGCTCTGACTCTCAGATCTGATGGGGGCTGCAGTGGAGCAGGTCAGCAGCAACAGGAATCCTACTGGAGGGTGCATAAAATTGGCTCTGGAGTCTGCATGTTTGAGAGTGTGAGAAACCCAGGAATGTTCCTGAAGATCAAAGATGGCCAGTGTAATGGAACAGTAAGCACTTCTTGTTTGTATTTCCATCTGCAGATAATTTGAGTAGATTGTCAGTGACAGGAGAAAATCTTCTTTGTGTTGCTTGGATAAAAATTTGATGAAAGCATTGTCTGGATTTAAGGTTTTTCAGGACATTTCCTTCATTTCTCAAGGAAAGACAGGGGAATATAGCAAGACAGGCTGTCACACCTATTTGGCACTTATTTATAAAAACTACTTAATATTTTAAAATATGATCATGTGTATATAGTTAAAATTTATTTGTCAGATGATTCTGTGTCAAGATTCTGTTGCATTAATTTGAGATTTTAAACAACTACAGTTCTATTGGTATGTACTTGTTTCAGAAGATGTTGGAGCCATGTTGGCATCCCAGCTTTTACTGAATTCTATTTTGTCTAAAATGAAGAACATGATTTTCTTTCTGAAATACTTCGTCATTTATGAGCAGCTTTTATATGCAGGAAAAAAAAATATGTTTGGAGAATATGGTTGAAATATTCTTAGACCCATATTCTTCATCTGATTGGAATTTAATCAAAGAATTTTTACACCTGAGAGGATGAAAAAAAAAAAAAAAGAGAGAAAAAAATAAACATAAACATTATTATTTGATCATTGAACTTGTTGTTTGCTAATTCTTTGTCAGTTTGCTGATAAGAACTGATGTAATTGTTTGGAATGTGGAATACAAACATGTTCAGGGATTTAAACTGGTATTAAATCTAAATAGATTGATGATAAAAAAAAAAAGGACTAATGAATAATTAAAATGTAAGGAATTTTATGCTGAATTGACTTTTGCAATGTAGTTCTGTTCAAATGAACTAAAATTCACAGACCTACTCATGATTTTTATCTGAGAGTTTAACTCAATTGTGTATGACATAGAATCAGAGCTGAGATCCTCAACAGTTTTGCTCTTGCTGTCAATATACTCTGATCAGAGATTTAAAAAAAAATAAAAATTGATCCTTATTTTGAATGCAGGCTTTCTGAATGTCTTGCTTTTTTCGCAGCACCCTCACCACAGGATAGAAAAGAATCTTTCATGTACAGTCTATTTTGTACAGTTTATTTTGAGCAGTTACTGTATTTTAAGGTTAAAATTACAACATGTGACCGGGTGCTCTTCTCTCTGAGACATGTTAAATTGGGATTTCTGTAGTCTGCTTCTGGCTACTGGCCACGAGAAAGTTGTATTCTGACAAATAGTTGAATCCAAATGCAGTTTGCTACAGTGGATACTACATTCATGTGCACAGTGCTTTTAAATCCACAAATATATTCACTTATCACTGTTAGAGCGCCAGATCATTGGAGTACTACACTGAGGTTTTGGTTGACTAAGACATTGAAATTGATGCTATAAGTGTTGTGAAATGAAGATAAAAAAAATGTTTTCACATTCCTTAACCTTCTAAAGGCTTATTAAATGGGAATTTCTCTGAATATATCCTGGACTTTGCCTAAACCCTAACATGATTCAGAATACTTTTTTTCATTTGCTCATATTATTGATTGGCCTTTTTGCCATGGAGGACTACACAGAACCAAGATTTGGGTAATAATGTAGCACATTATGAAGACCCTAAAGTTAATCTGAAATGTCACTAGAAAATAGTAATATATAAGTCTTAAGAAACATTCAGCTTACCCAGATACATCAGTGCAATTGCTGATTTCAGATTTCTGTTTTCAATTTCTTAGGGCACGGGTGATGAATACTGTCACTTCAAAATTGAGAAGAATTGGGAGGCTGGATCTGTAAGTCTGGAATCAGTGCGGAGTAAAGGGATATACGTTGGTCTCCTTCCAGATGGTCAGACCAAGCCAGTCATTAACATTGGAGAGAGCAACACTTTTTTCTACCCGCAGGTCATCAAATGTATGTGATTTCTTAATATTGCAGTTTGCCTAAGTGACTAGTGTTTCTGACAGACAAAGTTCAAAACAAAAACACGTAAGATAGATCATTTGCTTTTGCCTTGTTGTTTTTAGTAATTTTAAAAGTGAGAAGTTTTATCACACAGTTTGTCCAGGGTAGTTAGTTAATTTTGCTCTATTTTTTTCCTTTAATAAAAATAAAGGGTGCTGAAGAATTTTTATTTATTTTATTTTTTTTTTAACTAAACAAATAAATTTTGGAGCATGAGAATCAAAACAGATGACAGGATAGACATGGAGTTGACTCCTTGGCCTATTCCCCATTCTGGCTACAGATTCTAGAATCTGGGGAGATACTATCTTGCTTTCAGGTACACCATACTTTCCTATTTTATAGGGAAAGCTCTAAAATTTAGAGAGGGCATATGTAGCAGAAATGCTAAGTCAGGGTCTGAACCACTGATTGAGCACCTGATGGGAAGGCAGGGCCAACCCAGAGAAGTTCAGGTGCATGCAATGCCCCTGAGTGACTGGAATGGATGAGCCAGGGTCCACCCCTTCCCAAACCTCACTTAAGGGTTGCAGTGGAGGTGAGATTATCTTGCTGGAAATCCCTGGATCACTGTTTGCTTGTCTCACCCCCTTCTGGAGAATTAAGTTTTTAATTTGGTGAGGGATTTGGAGCCAGCTGGCTAGGATCATTATTGTAGAAAATAAAACTATATCTGCAGTCTTATCTAAAGGGCATAAAGAGAACAAGAAATGCAACAACTAATGGCAATGCTAAAGTGGCCATCAGTTGAAAATTAAGAATTCTGTCAGGTTTTTGTCAGACAAATGAAGAACAGACTCAACTTGAGGGCTTCAATCCACGAAGGGAAAATATGAAAACACAGACCCTGTTACTTTTGTTTCATGTCTTCAATTCTGTTTCATTTATTTCGTCACCAAGACATACGGAAGTATTTTCAAAGTCACTGTGATGGCATTGCTACCATTCAGTCCCTGCTTGCAGCAAGGTGCTGAGAGTATTTCAGTCTCTGTGTCCTTATAGACTAAAGCAAAGTTTTTTTTCTTTGCAGCCTTTTGGGAAGAGCATGGTTTTCAATGGAAATTCTCAAAAAAGCAGGACTTACTGATGCTGTTAAAATAAAGTGAACTGTTACCTTGTTACAGGCTGGAGTTCTCCTGAATTCTTGTTACCCAATAAAAGGAGGAAAACAGTAGTTATTGTTTTCTATCAAAGCAAGAAAGATTTGTCTGTTTGCTAGTTCATATTATCAGAAATGGCCTCTAGCAGTTTTCATTTCAGCATTCCTACTCTTTAAGAAAGGAAATACCGTGAAGAAGCTGATCTTGTGGAAAACCACATTTGAGCAGGTCATTTCATTCGTGCCTTGGTGTGAAACTGCTACTTAGATTTTCAAAGCACTAAAATGGATATTTATTGGTACATCATATTTATTCTCTACTTTTTGTGATGTTGCTAACAACAAAAGCCTATTACTAGTACCTGTGTGATACACAGAGAAAAGATTTTGGTATCCATCGTGTTGAATTATCGTAGGTCTAGTATTAGTGTTTGTCACATATGGACACATGGAAAGCTTCTGAGGGGGGAAAAAATAAAAGAAGTAGCAAATGATTTGTAAATTTCTGTAATTTCTGATTACTGATTTCTAATAACTGAAACATTTGATTGTTTCAGTTGGCTGGGTAAATCCCACAGGAACTCCTGTAGAAACCACTCAAGAGAAGAAAGACTTCAGAGAATCTGAATGCTTGCCAGCAAAAGCCCAGTGGCAAACATCTCAAAGACCTTTGGTTTTTCCACCCTCAGGTAAGAAACAGTAAACAAATCAGTTCTGGTACAACATTAAAGCATGTCTGCCTCCCATGCATATTTGCAGTTACTTATCTGAAGAAGGGAAATGTATGGCTTTTTTAGATTTTTGACCTATGCATACATACATACAACATAAAAATAATTATTTTTTATTTAAAAGGGGCATTGAAAGGTGTTTCATGGATTAGGCAGTGATTATAATTTATCTGTTGAATAATTTCACATTGGTATTTTTTGAATATGTAACTATCTATGGCAAGGGATGCTTCTGCTGCTTCTGTGGAATTTAAGAAGCTGATATCACCAAGAGCCCAATCCAAAGCTTTTGGAAAGTCATGGAATATTTCTCTCAGATTTTCTGCTTTATAATTCAGTAGGAGAAAGAGTAAGACTTTAATGTGTTGAATGTTAGTTTGGTTTATCTCTAGCTAAGCAGGTAAGAATAGTTAATTAATGTTCAGATTGCAATTTCAAAGTGCTTGTTTTTGTTTTGCAATTTTCAAGTTTGTTTGTTTGTGAAGCAGATGCCAATTGTATAATCATTCATAAGGTATAATATTGGAGAGGATTTTAAATAAATTCAGTTGGAACAAAACATTCTGCTTGAATTCAAAACATAGGTGTGGAATATTATTAATTACTGTTACTTTTTTTTTCGGTCAGTGTTTCCATTCTTACCTTAAAATGGTCACTTTCTGTTTCAAATCTATCAGTCCTCGTGTTATATTATTGTGTTACAAAGTCTACCCAAATCGTTGTGGGTTGTTGGCAAGTATGGTGATATACTGTGCATTTCAAAGCCATGGCAACAGCTTACAAACCATCAAGCCTGTTTTCAAAGGAGTAGGATGTTTCTAGGAGTGGATACAAATGATTCCTTTATAGAAACAATATCTCCATAAAGTTGGTTAAGTAAGCACTATTAGCACTTCGAACTATTTCTGACATTTCTATGTCTGGTCTTTGCTTACAGAAAAGGGACAGAAATATCAGGTACTCTGACATTCAAAGAAAATACTCACATTGAGTAAGAGATTCTCACTTAGGTTACTTTAAAAGATACCTGATCTTCGATATTCCAAGTTCTATTTTTAATGGATATATATTAAATACTCCCTTGCTTTTTTTAAAACAGAGTTCATATTAGAAAAAAAGTGATGTTTGGAGTTAGTATACAGTTCAGCAGACTTAGTATTTGAACTCAGAACAGATTAGCCGTCTACTACATCTACTAGCCAATATATATCTTTTGGTTGTTAATTTCACAAATAACAATTGGTTTGAGATTAGTCATAGAAGAATAGAAACACTGAATCATAGAATGGTTTGAGTTGGAAGGGCCATTAAAGTCTACCCTTTTCCAACTCCATGATGTGGGCAGGGCTGCCCCCACCAGTGAAAACTGCTGCAACACTAGGTATTTCTGTTGTAATGTGAATTCTTTATTCCTTGAGTAATTTCTGCCACAGAAGTCAGGTGATGTCAGGTTTCAACATCTACTTAATAGCTCACAGAATGGAGAATTACAGTGACTGTCAGAGATATGTCAGCAAAAATGCATGAGACCATGTTATAGACTTAAGGTCGAATGTTCTGCATGAGCTAGAAGGGAAGGAAGATATATATACATAGTTAGAGGATCATAGAATGAATAGGGACAAAGAAACTGAATCGGAAGACAAGAATATCTCAAACCAAGGATTTTTAAATCTTCTGTTATCAGAAACAAAATAAAACAAAAATCAACAGACTTACTGAGGGCACATACTTGTGTCAACTTCTGTATCAGTCAGTAAGCATGAAATGGTACTGAGGATTTCTACTTAGAATCATAGAATCACAAGGTTGGAAATGACCTATAAGATCATCCAGTCCAACCGTCTCCTCATCACCATTGCCACCACAAGCACTAAACCACATCACGCAGCACGTCGTTCAGACACCTCTTGAACACTGCCTGGGACGGCGACTCCACCACCTCCCTGGGCAGCCATTCCAGTGCCTGGCCACTCTCCGAGAGAAATGGTTCTTCCTTATGTCTAATCTAAACCTCCTCTGGTACAACTGGCGGCCACTGCCTCGTGTCCTGCTCGTTGCCTTGGAGAAGAGGCCAAACCTCCCTCCAGGAAGTTGTAAAGTGCAGTGAGGACACATTTCTTTGTTCCTCATGTTTCTGAAATCATGTTGAAATTTGAATAGCAAAAACATATCTACAAGTCAAAGTAAGGAGATTGATGCCATTAGCTAGCAAAAAGTAGGCACAATTTGTAACATGGAGAAAAATGTTGTGATTCAGTATTAATAAACTGTATCTCCAAGAAACAATTTCTGTACGTTGCACGTTGCTTTCCCATATGTCTGGAATATTATTAGTTACTATCAGTTTTTTAACACATTTTATTTATAAAGCTAAGTAATATACAAGTAAAGTCTGATCTAATTTCCTTTAGGTTTACATTGGAAGTGGTGATACACAGGAGTGCAATAAAATACATCATGTCTATTGTACAAGCTTCTGCTGTAGACATTCATTTTTCTGATGGTTCACTTCAAAAGTGTCACTCAATCATACAATGTTTGGGGACCAAATTACTCTCGCTTTGCTTTAGATTTAGGATAAGTAAATAAAAAAGCAAAGTAATTTTTATGAAACTGTGTGAAGGATTGTGACTTCTCCATAATTTTCATGCAGGACTATCAGAATGAATTTTTCTCGCAATGGATTTACATCATGGTGCCATGAAGTGTATAAAATCCCATGACTAATCCAGAGACCATCAAATCCTCTTTTCAGATTGGAATATTTTTAGCCTGCAGCAAATCAATGTGACTGATTTCCATTTGTAAGAAGTGCCAGTAAATTATGAGGCGAAAAGCATTCAACATCTCTGAATTGTTTGTGAATTATAATTTTTTTTTCAGGATGCAGTACTTTGTGCTTGCAGTAGGTGCTTTGGGCAGCAACAACACAAGAAGGGAATTCTTATACTAAGTATAAACAGCAGCATGGATTTCCTTATATTTATTAAAACCTGTGCATTTCTTGAATCTTTTAATGCATTTGTTAGGGAGTGCTTGTGGGTCACATCACTCAAACAAGTAGGATGTGGTGTCAGATAGCTTAAGTCAGTTTGTTTTGTTACAGATGAGGAACTACGTAGTTCTGGTTAGAGAAAGTATTGCTGCTCTAGGAATGTTAAGAAATCACACTGTCAAAAAAATTTAATGGATTGAAGCAACTATTTTGTTATAGTTACTGAAAGACACGTGCCATGAAGACAAATAATTCATTGGTCATAAAAGTTTTGTAAGAAGGAAGTCCCAGGGATTCATGACAAGTTTTTTTACATTGTATTCATGCTTTTACTTCATTGATGACATGATACAGCTCAGTGAGTGTTACAAATTTGTCACAGGTTGCTGTTTGTTTATTTATTTATTTATTTATTTATTTTAGTATCTATATTGAATTTGGCTGGAGTGATATTAATTTTCTTCACAGTGGCCAAATTGGTGCTGTTTCAGATTGGTGTTATCAGTTTTGATAACACAGTGGTGCTTTACATATTTTGGGTAGTGCTTGTCATAGATTGGGAATTCTTTACGAATTAACATCAATGTGTCAATTTATGAATTCAGCAATATTTTAAGTGATTTTATGCACCTGGAGCCTGTGGCCTCTAAAAGCTTGGTTCATCAAACGTGACTTAATGGATGAGAAATGAGCTGTGGGATACAAAAGGCTGAAACAGCTGAGCCTTTTAGACTAGGTATAAGAAGTTTTTCTTTACAATAAGGTGAGGCAGTGGAGGCTGCCAGAGATGTGGTAGATGCCCCATCCCTGGAGACACTCAAAGTCAGGCTGGATGGGACTCTGAGCAACCTGATGGAGCAGTCGGTGTCCTTGCTCATTGCAGGGAGTTGAACCCAATGATCTTTAAGGGTTCCTTCCAATTAAAAAAATTATAGGTTTCTATGAAAAGAAAATTAATCTGAAGTGCAGATAATGTTCATCTTATTTAGAACATTAACAAGTCTATGTGCAGCTTTTTGAAAAAGAACCATTTAGGAACTCTTGCAGGACACAGTATATAGGCAAAGTGGATTTTTTTTTGTCTTTGCAAACTGAGGGATTAAATCCGCCTTCTGTGTTTGAGCATATTGTAAATTTGGGGGAGATAGGACCTGCTTGTTCCATGGAGGGTTCATGGAGAGGAGTGTGTAGAGGTGAATTTATGGTTGTGACATTACTGAAATGACACCTGATGTTTGCAAACTCTGTTTTTTTTTTCTCTTAAGTAGTACTGCACTGCTGTTGTCTTATTCATACAGATCCTCCCTTAGCCTAAACACTGGCACTATATGCTTAATTATGATTGGGGAGGGGTTTTTTCTTTTCTAGCTGAATCTTGTAGCTGATCCAAACAAGACATTTTCCTCGTTTGTCACTGAAAAAATACAATCCCCTCTTCTGTTATGGTCTCCTTATCACAGAATCACAGAATTGCAGGGGGTGGAAGGGACCTCTAGAGATCATTGAGAATTACTGAGGTTATGTGCTGATGTTACAGCAGTGACTGGCAGTTTCATGTCAATTTTTATCTCCTGCTTAATGTTCTGTATTTCACAGAAGAAATGAGAAATCCCCAAGTTGGTGAGTGTTCCCTTCCTTCATCTGATGACTGGAAAGTGTCAGTGCTGATGGGAAGTGCAGGAGCTCGAGCAAATGCCACTCTCTGGATATATGGATATGGAGGAGCAGATGGACCAATAACTCTTGGCAAGGAGAACAGAAAGCAGTTGTTCCTTCCTAGGCAAGAGGATGAATTTCAGGTAGTTAATGAAGGCTAAGAACATTACTTTACTGTGTTTCTTTCCAAAGATTATCCTGTCATGTGAAAAGAAAAAGTATTTTTCCCTCCTGTTTACACATAAAACAAATCTCTCTAATCTCTGTGTATTCTGCATTAAATCAGCTTAGTGCAAATAGTTAGCAGTGGAGGAGACATTCTTTCTTTCAATTTCCTCTCTCAGACATTTATTTCTCTAAGACCATTGATTTGAAACTAGCTTTAGAAACTGTCCGCTCCAAAACAAATCACATATAATGCAAGACTTATATATAATTCAGGTATCTTTAGTGATGAAATGCTCTTGTGCACAGTCTTCACGGGCATACTTTAAAGGGATTATCATGTAACTGGTTCAGTTAAAGTTGATAACAGACATTTTTCAGCCACCATACTATAAATACCTGGAATGCCAGAAGTTTTATTGCTGAGAGACCAATAACTGAAATGTTATCATGGTCATTAAAACACAGAATTTCACTATATTGTTTAAGAAGAATCCCACTTTCACTGTGACAAGATTATTTCTAGATGGGCTGAGAATAAATTATTGAAGGAGCTAATATTTCTGTTTTGCTGAAATCTTTCTGTCTGAGATGCATGTGACACATTGCTGTCTTCAGATAATTGAAGCAGAAGTTGTAACTTCTCACATTTTTCTGTAATTTTCACATTTTGTGTAATTTTTTTTCTGTACTCATCCGTTCTTCCAATGCAGTCTTGGCACAAATCGAAACTAATTCTGTCAACAATATTAACAGACAGGAAGATAAAAAACTGAGCATTGCACTTGGTTAAGCACATTGGCTATGTATTCTGATCCATGGGGAATCCTGTTCTCTTAATTAGTGAATAATTCATAAGCAGCATTGAATAATGACATACTCGTGATGTTAATCTGTAGCTCTTAAGAGATGGACAAGTTTCTTTTTTCTAAAATGAATATTGCCTCTTATAGCTCTGTGCTCTGTATAACGATATTGCGAGCATGCAGGGTCTATTGGCACCTGGGGCTACTATTATGATTCTTTTACATCACACTCACAGTATTGCTTTCAGACAAAAAACAACAAATGTCACCAAA